CACGACCGACGGGTGTGGGGGTGGAGGTGGTAGATTTATATGCCGAGGTCGGTGGAAAATTTCATGGCCAGATGGTATGTGGAAGTGATGGCTTGGAAGGTATTTAGGGCTGTGCGGCCAAGGATGATGTTGTAAGCGGAGGGGCAGTCGACCACGAGGAAGGTGAGCAGCTTAGTGGTCTGCTGCGGGTGCTCACCGATGGTGATAGGCAGATCGATGGAGCCGATGGAGGTCACTCGGTCTCCGGTGAAGCCGACCAGAGGGGTTTGGAGAGGGGACAGGCTCTCTTCCCCAACCTTGAGTTGGCGGAAGCAATTGAGGAAGATGATGTCCGAAGAGCTGCCGTTGTCTATGAGGACTCGTCTGATTTTGTAGTTGGAGAGGATGGCGGAAATGACAAGGGGGTCATCATGTGGGTAACGGACTCCTGTACAGTCGGTGTCCGTGAAGGTGATGGGTTTGATCCACTGTCTTGACTGCTTGGAAGGTCGGTCCACCGTCGCCATTGCTTTGTCTGAGCCCTGCCTTATCTTCCTGAGCTCTGCCCTCTGAGCCGAGCGGGATGGTCCCCCACAAGCAAGGCCACCTGAAATGACTCGAATTTCACTAACTAGCGGAGGGGGATTACCTGGCGGCCGAGGCTGTTGTGGAGGGTGATCATGGCCTTGGTTAGGTTGTGCTGGCTGCCAGGGTGGGGTGCACCGGCGGTTGTTTCTGAGGGGCTCGGTTCTTTGCCTCTGCTGTGGGCGGGTGTCCATGAACCGGCTGCGACGCCCTTGACGTATCAGGGTCTCGACCTGATCCTTGAGGTTGATGCAGTCATCAGTGTTATGGCCATGGTCCTGGTGGAAACGACAATATTTGGACTGGTTTTTTCGATTGGAAAGGGTCCGTGAAGGTAGGGGTCATTTGAGGGGGTAGTCCCGTTGGATCTGGTTGAGAACTTGTTCCATGGGAGAATTAAGGGGGGTGTACCGCTCGAACCGACCGGACTGTCGGGCTGGTGCCGACCGGTCAGCGCGGGGGGGTCGGTCTGTATAGTGGGGTGTTTGGCTATTATACTAGGTGTTTCTGGGTTCTGAGTCTTTTCTCTTTTCTCTGGGGGTCGGGTTTTTAGCTATTGGATCTTGCGGAGCGGCTAGTGAATCTTCAGCATTCATGTATTTCTGGGCTTTGGAGAGTAGGATTGCCATGGAGGTCGGGGAGTTTTTGGAGAGGGAGAGAGGAAATCGGACGATCGTAGCCCGGCCATGAAAGCTGTGAGGATGACCTTGTCATCGTTTTCCGCTACTTGCAGGGCTTCGGTGTTGAAGCGGGTAACGAAACTGCGGAGCGACTCCCCCTCAGTCTGAGTTGGGTTGCCGGGCGGCGTTGGCGCTAGGCTCCAATGAAATGGCTAAGGAAGGAGTCGCTGAGATGCTGGAAAGTGGCGATAGAGTCTGCTGGTAACTGGCTGAACCACAGTCGAGCTGACCCCTTCAGTGTCACGGGGAAAGCCCGACACATGATCTTGTCAGGGAAGGCATGGAGGATCATGAGGGTACGGTAGGTCTCCAGATGGTCGACTGGGTCCGTTGTACCGTTAAAAGAGTCAATGGTGGGCATCTTGAACTTGGTGGGCAGAGGTTTGTCCCGAATGGAGGCAACAAATGGTGAATTTGCCATGATCGAGGGTTTATGCTGAATATTCTGCATGACCCCTTGGAGTTGGAGCTTCATTGCTCGAAGTTCAGCGTCCTAGAGGGGAACGTGGTCACTATGGTCAGTCAATGAGGGCTGGACGCTGCTGGTTTCCCCTTTAGGGCTGGTGCCACGACCGACGGGTGTGGGGGTGGAGGTGGTAGATTTATATGTGGGGAAGGAGGTTGCAAACCTTCCAAGTTGGGTGGATGGGGTAGCGGAACAATATGGCTCCGGGCTCTTTCTTGGTTGGGTGGAATATCTAGAGGTGGTGGAGGAGGCATCGGAAGGTTTCTTTGGAGTAAAGCATTTATCAGGGCCTGGTTTTGCTCGGCCATGCGGTTAATGCTGTTGGTACGCTCGAAAAAATACTGCGGTGGGTTGTTTGGATTGGGGGGGTCGGCCTGATTGTCGGCAGCATTATTGTGAGAAGCCACGGATCTGGTCGTGACCATACACTTTGACGGGTAGGAGGAAAAAGGTTGTTGGAACGGGGTCTCCAGCGACAGTGAACACAACTGGCGCGAGGAGCAAAGCTTTCCCACAGACGGCGCCAACTGATGATAGAGTTTGTCCCAGTGAATGGGTCGGACTTGTCCAAGCTCCTCAAGCCCAGGTCCAAATGATCAAGCCCACCGGATAACCTACAAACAAGTTCAACGGGGAACGGGATAGTCCCCCAGTGAACCCTCCGACGAGCAAGTTAGGAAGAGAAGTAGAGTGTAGAGGGAGAGATTAGAGATAGAAAAACTTAACCTTCTTCTTGTCTTCAACGTTTGCTTATATCCTTTGGTAATCATTTCGGTGTCTCTTCCGACCTGACCTCCTCGCCGAAAGTCTATGTTGTAGCTTACCTTGTTCAGGGTAAGGGGGTCTTGTTCCGACGGAGAGGTGTTGTCATAATAAATGCTGTGATGGGCTGCATTAATGGTGATGTGCAGTGGCAATAACTTTGTAGATCTTTGTCTGCTGATGTGGCTCGTCCTTCACTTGCCATGTGTCTGAATGTCAGTGGCTCTTTATGCCATGTTGGATTCCAGCTGTCCTGGACCTCACCAGCTGGGTTATGTATTGGGCTCCAAGTGATAGGCTTGAGTTGTTCATAGTGATTCATGGCCTTTATGGGCTTATACACGTCATACTTATTTTTCACCTCTCTTCTTCATCATACATCACAAAATCAACTTCCACCATTGTACCACCACCAAAATCACCTCTCCCGTCTCCTTTGCCGCATCAACACCCCCATGCCTCTCCTTCTTGAAACACCTTTACCCAACCTTTTTCCTCATCTGCCAACCCACCCTCTCATTCAGCAACAACCACACCAACTCCTCCCACAGGTACACCCTCACATCCACAATCTACCAACGCTACAAATTTCATGAAAAGTTAGGGAAATCAATCTAATGTCGTTGAGATGAATTTCAAACTAATGCAAATCTGATACATACACACAACATTAATATCACATCAGAATTGTGTATATATATCTTAGTTTTGAGCCTTTTCTAACTTGGTGTCGACAAAATCTGCATTGGGTTCAAACACAAAATCACACCATGTTGTCGTCATTGATTTGCAAGTTACCATCATTGTTGTTGTTGATGTGCAAAGCCTAAGCTGGAGATTCACCGTCATCAATATACGAAAGTGCAAATGGGAACTAAATTCAAGAGGGTTGTTAATCGTCAACTTGCAGGGGATCTGAGGGAAGTGGGTTGTGGTGGAGGATTGGGTGTGGTAGATCTAAGAGAGGGGCTGGCAGAGAGAGCTGGTGATGGTGGAGCTAAGTGAGGGGGTGGCCGTGGAAGGCCAAGGGTGGTGACTATGTGTCGGTGCCAGTAGAAGAAGAAGATAAACAGAAAAGGTGAGAAACAATGACGGTGTTTGGGAACAAATTTTTTAGATTTTTTTTCATTAAAAGACAAATTGATTACAAAATTCAAAAAAACAAATCTAAACAAAACATCACATCAAATCCCATAATCATTTCACTTTTTCTCTCACAAGCATCACATCCAACCATAAAAAAACCAAACTATCTTTTCAAACACAATTTTTTTTTCTCCAATAATATCCTACAACTAAAAAATCCTATAAAAAAAACTCGCTTCCCAAACACCCATAATATAGATTTTGATACAATGTGTTGAAGTTCATGAAAAGTATACGATGAATAGCTCTGATGTAATGGATAATAAATATATGGTGGTATTGATATGATGTGATCATGTTCAAATATAATATTAATATTAAGTGAAATGAGGGAATGAAAATGTACTACGTGTACACGTGTGTATTATTTTTTTTTTTTTTGTCAAACAAGTTAACAAAAATGAATGAATGATTAACATTGATACGAAATAAGAAATTCAAAATTTAAATTAATGCAATTGAAATCCTAGGATTTAATTTGAAAACACGCAAAAACTTCGGATTTTTTTTTTATATATAAAAAAAAAGAAGATAAATTACTCTATTAGTTTTTATAGTTTAACTAAAGGATCATTTTAATTCCTATAATTTTAATAATTTAAATCTCATATTTTTATTTTTGTTACAATGTGGTCCTTTATAGTGCATTGTTAATATTTTAAATGAAAAAAGATTGCGAGCAAAATTACAGGGATTAACAGAATTGACCACCAGTGTAAGAACAAAATTACATTGGCGGTCCCAAAAATTTCATGATATTCAACAAAGTTCTTCTATCAAATCATATTTTTCTCTCTATTCCAAACTTTCTGACTCCACTTTTCCTACTTCATCTCTAAATTCTCTCCGTACATATACATGAGCGTGAAATAGATTCAATACAATTCCAAACTCCCCTCGTGAACGTATTTTCTCAATATTCATGTTGTTTGAGAAAAGGAGAAAAAGAGCCTAGTTATAGATTGGCTTGTTCAATTCACTGCACATAAATGGAACATAACCCCGCAAAATCAATACTTTAACAAAAGCACAAACTACAGAAGCTACGTTCTAGAATCCAAATATCTTAAATTTTAAAAGCTTATAAATTTTAGTCCACAAAACTTTCCTATTTCAAAACAAAGGAAAATTATGAATTTACAAATGTTCAAATCAGCAAAGCAAGAAAACACACATGAAATACCACATAAGTGAGGTCCAAAACCCATCAAATACTCCCATCAGTGGATTATACAGAATCCAATGTTTACACATTGAATTTCTTTTATTTTCTTTGTCAACAGAACATACATTTTCAGCAAACAAATATTCATTGACAAAAGAGAAAAGTGTTACTTGAGTTTACCACAAAGAATTATAGCATTAAAGATCAGTTGCCAGCATAAGAAAAGAAAGATGAAGCCCATTAATCAACAACATTACGCAAAATTCTAGATGTCAATGACGCATTCTTCCCGTGTAAAAACAATTAATCAAGTATCGAATAAAAAAAGAAAACAGTTGCAAATCTATTTACAAATAGAATTAAGTAAAAATGGTTCTAGTATAAGAATTAGAATGTACACACACTGTCTTCGATGTCATTGCACCTCATAAGATTGGAAAGATATCATTGTCATCATCATCGTTCATGTCGAGATACTTGAAGGTAACATCATTGCTCTTTGGGTCCGGGTAACGGAAGCTTGGGTTCACATAGCATTTCATCTCATGAAAGAGGTTCAGATTATCCACCAGCTTATGGAAAACATTGCATCCACAACACTAGAACAAAACAACAAACAACCCAAAACTAAACATACAAACACAAATACGTATACGTATATGTATGATTTCTTCTCTTCTCTTTTTTTAGAGGGGGGTGATTACCTGGACGAAGACGGTGCCATCAGTGTAGGCATGGTGATTGATGGCACGAGTAGTCCTTTGGCCACAAACATTGCAAGTGAAGGCGACAAGCATCCTCCGGCGTGGAGATTTGGTGAAGAGGGACCAGGGGAACGTAGAGACCCTCTCCATACCGGAATTGGGCTCAGCTCCAGCGGGGACCGAAGGACCTTCCATGCCGGAATCGGTCGTCCAGCCTCTCACAGACGCCGCACTCAGAACCAATCCCATCGCCGCATCCTAAAAGTACCCAATTTATTCCCCCCAAAACAAAACCCTAATCTATGCTTTTGCATCTTCGATTTATCAAGAAATGAAAATTAATAGAAATGAATCTATCTTTTCCCATTTCTTCATAAATTCATAATCCAAACATAGCCTAACTAAACTAACCAATTGATCAAAGAACAAGAAAGAGAGAAAATAGTGTGAGATTACCTGGGAGAGAGTTCGACTGCTGAGAATTGGGACAAGACTTGAGTCGTAAGAATCGGAATGAAGATCGGAATCGTTATTGTTATCTGAATCAATTGGAAGTTTTTGTTTAAAAAAAAAAACGAGAGGTAGAGAGAAGAGAGAGAATTGAAGAGGGCTTACTCTTGGAAGGGATGGGGAACCGAAGGAACCTTCTTGATGATGATGATGAGTCCTTGGTCATGGGGAAGAAAATCGGAAGGGAAGACGGCGAGGAAGAGACGATCGTCGCAGAGGAGGTTAGTGTTTTCATGGTCTGTAACCCTAGCTAGATGATGATGATGGTGATGAATTGCAGAGAAGGTTAATTTCCTGATATTTGTTGTTGTTGGTCTCTGTTTTGATTTGATCAATCTGATTCTCAAAGAGTTGAGTTGAGAACTTCGTGTGGCGTTTGATCTTTGTCGATTGTGGTGTGGTGTGGTGTGGTGTGGTGTTAAGTAGTCTCGCTTTTTTACCGGGCCTGGCCGGGCTGGGCCGGCCCATGGGCTGAAAAGTGGCCTTAGGTTTAAGTTTAGGCTCACTCAGAATAGGTCTTAGGGCTTAGATGGATTTTTTTAAAAAAATAATAAAAATAAACGGTAAATACATTATTTATTAGGAATAAAAGAAAATTATATTCGAGTATTTTAATTAAAATTAATGAGATATTTTGTTTGTTATGTTTTATAGTGATATTTAAATTTAATTATATACGACTTATGTTTTTTTAAGAGACATTTACATACAAGTCCCATTTTGTGAACTTATAATCCATTAAATCATAGATAAAATTATTTGCCCTTTCAAGTCCAATTAATTTTTAATAGATTTTATAATTAAATATCCAAACAAGCAGTGAGCTCCATAAACATATCCTTCGTAGAAAGAGAAGACAGAGTCCAGAGAGAGAGAGAGAGAATGGCGATCAGAGAAGTCACATCCGAATTGCCGATCTATTTGGCGAATTCACTCAACAGTTTGAGACTCGAAGGACAAAAAACAACCGCCATTGAAATTCTACAGCAATTCGATTGGGAAGTTCCAGATTGGGTCATCGTTCTTGGTGGAAATCCATGCAACATTTACGCATTCTACAAAGGATTCAAAACGTGTGAAGAATTGGGACTTGTTGATCGAATTCCAAGGCTTGTTTGTGCTCAAGCAGCGAATGCGAATCCATTGTATCTACATTACAAGTCAGGTTGGGGTGAATTCAAGCCAGTGAAAGCAAATACTACGTTCGCTTCGGCTATTCAAATCGGAGGCCCAGTATCCATAGATAGAGCAGTGTTTGCTCTAAAGAACTCGAATGGGATTGTTGAGGAAGCAACTGAAGAAGAACTTATGGATGCCATGGCACAATGGATGACGAATAGAAACAAAAGAAGGGCATAGATGGCATCCCAGGAATTAAATTTAACTTTATCGTTGACACTTACTGATTCTTCTGAATTTTGATTGAAGTTGAGAACATTCTCAGTTATAATACTCTCAATTTTAATCATGAAAAATTGAGAAATTTCTCAAAATTGATAATTATAAATTTCTTAGTTTTGATAATATTCTTAGTTCATACTAGAAAAAAATTGAGAAATTTCTTAGTTTTGATAATTATAAATTGAGAACATTATCAGTTTTGGGATTAAAGGACAAAACGTCTTTTTACCTATAAATGAAACTTAATGGTTCAAAAACTTTTTGATAGGACCTAAGCTACCACCAAATATGTAGATAGAACTTTTTGGTAATTAATCCTTTTTTTAATTATGAACTTATAATTAAAAAATTATGCAATTATGTAATTTTTTTTTTAAAATGAATAATTTTATATATATGAAAATGAAACTTTTAATATTACAATAGTAAATTAATTATATAACATATATTGAATGAATAATTTTTATTTTAAAATGAAATAAAATATTACAAAAATTATATCATTAAACAAAATAAGCATAGATTATTTAATTTAATTTTTTTTTCATTCATTGCAAATTTCGATGAATCATGATGTGAGTGATGATGTTGCATGTCATGATGACAAGGCAAGGCCCAAGGGGGCATGAGTAAGCAAACACTGATAGCCTGCAAAGAAATGACTCAATAAATGATCTTGGTAATTGATTTTGAGTCAGTTCTACCCCTGCAGGGCAGAGGGCAGGCATCAGCTCTGCATCTCTGCAAAGAAATGATCGACCCTATTTTATTTTTATTTTATTTTTTTACTATTGTTGCACAAGAAGATCAACATTTATTTATTTATTTTTTTAAAAAAATTATTTAACCGTTTGTTGCAACTTGTCTTTTATTTTATTTTATTTTATTTATTTACTTTTTTGAAATTTGATCGTTGAAGGAAGAATCGATTCGGGCCAGGCCAACGGGTCAAGCCAGACCTCAAATGGAAGGTCCTGAGTTGGGCTCGGACCAAGGCCTAACCAGGCCGAACTAGGTGTTGGACAATCTTCACTGTATTTAAAAAGATTTAATTATGTTGTGTACAAAACAACAACAAGAATAAAAGAAATAGAGAAAAGGAGAGAATATGTTTGATTACAAAAATCAAACTCGAAATAAAACTAAATAAATAAAAAACATTGGTATGAGCTGAGCAGACGTAGAGCGACTCTATTGATCGGCTTTTGCTCGATTGACCTAGTTAAAGTTACCAAGACTTGGTCGATATAGTTTCGTAAACTGTATGCAACCGAATTGATGGTTTGCTCAGTCCGGCTGCCAATTTAGTTGGAATGCTTCACTTGGATTTGTATTGCCAAGGTACTAAAGGATAGGTGTTATCATTTAAGAGGTTGGCTCTCCTAGTAAGATTCTAGAAAGAGGAATTAGAGTTTTATTTTGTGTGTTTGGTTTGAGTTTTTTGGATTAAGTTTTTTAAAAATTGAGTTTTTTAATTTTCGTATTTTTTTGTTTTTAGTGAATATTTTTAAAATTTTAAACATTTTTTTTACTTTTTTAGATCTACCTTACTTAGATGTATCTAAAAAGTAAAAAAAATTAAGAAATACATAAAAATATAAAAAATGTACTGATTTTTTTTTTTTTTTTTTTGTATTTTTGGTATTGAGTGAATTTTTTAAAGATTTTTTTCATGAAAATTATACTTTTTAAGTGAATTTATGTTAGATGTGTCTAAAAATTAAAAAAGTTGCTTAAAATATTAAAAAAATTAATTAAAAACAAAAATTACAGAAAACAAGAAAGTAAAATTTTCTAAAAAATGTTTTTAAAAAGTTGAAAACAAACATAGTGATTTTTTTTCGAATTTTTTTTCTTTAATTAATTTTTTTTACTTTTTCGATCTGTCTTGTCTAGACGAATCTAAAAAAAATCACTAAAGACAAAAATAAGTTTTAAAAAATATTTATTTTGGTTTATTTTTGTCTTTTCTATTTTTTTTTGATTTTTTAAAAAAACTTATAATTTTCTAATTCATCTTATCGTACTGGATTTAGAAATTTAAACTTTTTAAAAACGTTTAATAAAAACAAAAATAAAGTAAAAAATAAAAATAGCTCTTCCCAAAACATCCTACAGTTCTCTATCTGAGTCTCCTTTGAACAATCGAAAAAAGTAACTTCCTCCGTAATTGATAGCAGCGGCGATGAAGATGGGACAATTGGCAAGGATGCTTCATGTTCACCTAGAATGACTTGAGCCCATGCAGTTAGCTACTGATTGATGGTGGTGTCGACAGAAACTATAGATAAGGGGGTGAAATGTTATTGGATGAAGATTATGCTGTCATGGCAGTTAAATTTAGGGCTAAACAAAGAATGAGATGTTGACTAAAAATACATAGTGTTGAAAAAAAATTAAGAAAATAAAAAATTGAATGTTTGGTGATGGTCGGAATAAGAAATATAATAATTTAGACTAATTCAAATTGATGATGCTGCTGTTTCAGTAGAAGATAGGCTCGATTGATCCACATTTCTATTGGGTTTGCTGGCCTCGGAGTCCCCAAAGAGTACCTGCAAAAAGGTCCGAGGGGGGAGGTGTTCCCCCAACGGACACTCCGATGACCAAGTTAGGGCAGATTGACTTGGGAGAGAGTAACAAGTGATAGAACTACTTAACCTCGACGTATCTCCAAAGCTTTTTTATATCCATTGCTCATTATTTCCTTGTCCATTCCAAACTGTCTTGTTAGCCGAAAGTTTATAGTCTAGTTAGGATGTCATTGGTTCTGGTTTATCATTGGTTTTTAAAGGTTGTTGGGCTTTAATACTTAGGTCATGTGTTGGGCCCCTAAGTCGAGGGCTGGACCCTCTTGGGGGGCCATCAGTATCACAAATAAAGAAAATATTCATAACTTCATATTTTTTTAAGTCATAATTATAAAAAAAATGTCATAAATAATTAAAAAATTTCTAAGTCATAATTAAAATAATGTCATAACTTAATAAGAAAATTAATCATAATTAAAAAAAGACATAATTAGAAATGCATTTAGCTATTTTAGCTTGGGACTAAAAAGTCTTGTTTGGGATAATTTTTTGATTTTGTTGACTTTTGTGATAGAAAAATGAAATGATTATTATTTAGATGTGACATTTATCTTATATGGTTAAAATAGCCTATTTTGTTGCATGTGGTTAAAATAGCCCAAACAAATATCCGAAACGGGGCCTTAAAAGGTGTGTAAGTTAGAATTTCTCGAAGATTGAACACACCCAATTATGGAATATTTCTGACATACATAATTTTAAATTAAAATTATAATTTACTAAAATGCAATTTTATTTTATTTTATTTATTTTTGTGTTTCTGTGGATGGGTGAAATTTATTCTCCAGAGGGAAATCGAGATGAGCTGCTCCTTCCTCTGCTCTGTAGAAAAGACAAATATTAAGACGTCAGTGATCTCTCCTGGCCATGGTTGGTCGGGAGGACCCTCCGATGATCAAGTTAGAATACAATTTAAACATATTGTTTTGTAGAAAGAGCACTGGTTGGGCAAGTGGACTAGTTGTCTTGATCTGCTATTGTCGGAGTTGCTGTATTTTGGATGGCCTAGATTTAGTTTGGATATAGGTTCTGATTCTTGATCATTGGATTTACCTTATCGGATGCTTAGGTTGTCAGAGTCAGTTGATTTCGTATCCTTTCTTCTGTTAGTTTTGATCTCTATCGTTGATTTCTATTTGATCCAAAGGTTTTCCTTCATGTTGCGAATCTCTTTTTAGAAAGTGATCTTGTTTAAATCTCCTATCACGTGACTTTGTTTTCTTTATAACTGAACTTTCTAAGGACTTGGTCCTGGACTTTACTTGGAACTTCGCCTTGGCTGGGTAAAAATGCTTTGGGCCGTATCTTAATGTGCTTGGGCCTTGGGCTTGAGTTTTTATCCTCCACAATTGGCCCTCCTTCGGCGTTTCTTTTTAACAAATTGCCGAAGGTGCCCTAGCCGACTA